AATTCATGTTTCCATTTATCACAGCAAGTCTTCCAGGTCCTGAAGCAGCAAAACAGCCCCAGACCATCACACTACCACCACCATATTTTACTGTTGGTATGATGTTCTTTTTCTGAAATGCAGTGTTACTTTTACGCCAGACGTAATGGGACACACACCTTCCAAAAAGTTCAACTTTTGTCTCGTCAGTCCACAGAGTATTTTCCCAAAAGTCTTGGGGATCATCAAGATGTTTTCTGGGAAAACTGAGATGATACCTTTATGTATGCAGACCATTTTTGCCCAGTCTCTTTCTTACGGTGGAGTCATGAACACTGACCTTAACTGAGGCAAGTGAGGCCTGCGGTTCTTTGGATGTTGTTGTGGGGTCTTTTGTGACCTCTTGGATGAGTCATCGCTGTGCTCTTGGGGTAATTTTGGTCGGCCGGCCACTCCTGGGAAGGTTCTCCACTGTTCCATGTTTTTGCCATTTGTGAATAATGGCTCTCACTGTGGTTCGCTGGAGTCCCAAAGCTTTAGAAATGGCTTTATAACCTTTTCCAGACTGATAGATCTCAAATACATTCTTTCTCATTTGTTTCTGAATTTCTTTGGATCTCGGCATGATGTCTAGCTTTTGAGGATCTTTTGGTCTACTTCACTTTGTCAGGCAGGTCCTATTTAAGAGATTTCTTGATTGCGAACAGGTGTGGCAGTAATCAGGCCTGGGTGTGGCTAGAGAAATTGAACTCAGGTGTGATAAACCACAGTTTTAACAGGGGGGCAAACACTTCTTCACACAGGGCCATGTAGTTTTGGATTTTGTTTTACCTTAATAATAAAAACCTTCATTTAAAAACTGCATGTTGTGTTTACTTGTGTTATCTTTGACTAATATTTAAATTAGTTTGATGATCTGAAACATTAAAGTGTGACAAACATGCAAAAAAATAAGAAATCAGGAAGGGGGCCAACACTTTTTTACACCACTGTACATTTTGTTTTTAAGTCAGTTTAATGAGACTTTTGGGGGCACATAGTTCTAAACATAGGCTTAAATTTTCCTAGATTTTCTTAGCTACCTAGACTAAAGAAATCATCGATCACCCTTCTAGCCAGTGCATCTGAACCACAACAGATGATATGTGGATGTTTCGTCTCATGGGGTCAGAGGTCAGACTCACGCTTCAGTAACAGACACAGGTGCTCCTCAGCTGATCTCTGGACGGGGGCGGCGGGGGCGTCTGCGCGGTGGTACGTCACGCTTTGACCTTCCAGGTCCCAGTAAGCCAGAACCGTGTTGGTGTTTCCAGGACAAACGAACGTAACAAGCGCAGAGAACTCTGAGACGTTCAGGCCTGCTGCGGTTGCTCCGTCCGGCACGTCGAAACACGTCACAGCACCCCCTGGCTTCACGGAGGGCTGGGAGAGTTTGGCGGTGGCGGCCGCCCGACGGCACTCCACATGAGGGAAATCTCTGAACCAGGGTAACCCCTGAGCCGGGCGCTCCGGAGCTTTAGATCGACTGTACAGCGAAGACAGACGCGCCTCCCACGACCTGAACACATCAGAACGGCACGGAAAATTGAGTAGTAGTAGATTTTTATTTAATGCCATGTCAGCATCAAAGGCTATTTTCATGGCAAAAACAATAAAAAAAAATATAAGTATAACAAATACAATGTGACCCTGGAGCACAAAACCAGTCATAAGGGTAAATTTTTTGAAATTGCAATTTATATATATCATGAAAACTGAATAAATAATCTTTCCATTGATGTATGATTTGTTAGGATAGGACAATATTTGGTCTCTTATACTTTTAATAACGACATCTATTAATTTTTAACAGTTAATCACAAACTCTGGATCAACTCTGAGTTTGTTTATATCGAGCTTTGTGAGCCTGATCTAAACCAGGTTGGATTTATTTGGTTTTGTCAACTCTAAACCTACTCCGAATCTCAGAGTTTGTTTATCTAGCTTCATGCAACAGGCCACTGTTGGTTTATACAGTACCGGTCTGTTTGGAAAGGTTTATCCAGGACCGACAGGCTGTGGACGGAGCTCGCGAGACTGTCCTGATCCCATGATTCAGTGGGCCTGAGAAATGGCCGATTAGGGGCTGAACGACAGTGAAGGTGATCTGGATACTTCCTGGAGAAAAAGAATCCACAAAAAAAACAATAAGAAATAGATCAGGGGGCGGTTTCATAAAAGACGCTAAGAAAAGAGGGGATTAAAGTCTAATAGCTAAGTTGAAATAACCTAACAAATCAATCGGGACTAAAGCGGTTTCATAAACGACAATTTAATTTCATGCAATCTCACTAATTCGATCCAGTGAGTCAAGATCATTTGATGTGCACGCTTATTCTTAATGTTGATCAAATGGATCGAGCATGGCAAACAGCGATTATATTAGTGCTGTTTAATGCATTTGAGAAGTTGTGTTTTCTTCAGTGCATAACTGACACGTCACAGTAATATTCTTCATCTGTAAATGTTAGAAAGTCATGCAAATATATCCATTTTGCTGTCAGGAGTGAACGAAAACAGACGGAGCGCAATAGAATAATAGCGCAATAATTTTGAGCACAATATACATTTTGCTAAAATATTTGTTGTTGGACGTTAAATGTGACACGTGTAGATTTTTTATCCTACATATAAGTGTATTTTTTATATTTTGTTTTGATTTACAGTTACTGCTATCAAAATAATCAACGTTACTGATTACTATCTCAAATGAGTTAAATGTGTGTTCCTCTTATCAGCTAAAAATGTAGTACGATTTCTATTATTTATTTTCATTTTTAATTCAGTGATTTTAACTTTTAATTTAGTGTTTTCTATGCTTTAAAGAGCAATTTTAGATTGTAATGTTTTAATGTTCTATTAATAACCATAAAAGGTACAGCAGTCAAATAAAAGAGAGAAAGGCTGCATGGCTAGAAGCTGCTGATCAAATAAATGCACAAGTAGCAACTATGTTAAAATGCTTTCATATATCTTTAAAAAAAAAAGTCATTAAATTGTGGGCACAATACATTAAATACAGTTGGTTGTATAGAACAAATAATGGAAGATCTACTTCACTGGGCGCTATTTAATAACACTAGAAAACTAAATAATGTCATAAAGCTGCAATTAATGGCAGTCATGCAAATATATCCATTTTGCTGTCAGGAGTGAACGAAAACAGACGGAGCGCAATAGAATAATAGCGCAATAATTTTGAGCACATTATACATTTTGCTAAAATATTTGTTGTTGGACGTTAAATGTGACACATGTAGATTTTTTATCCTACATATAAGTGTATTTTTTATATTTTGTTTTGATTTACAGTTACTGCTATCAAAATAATCAACGTTACTGATTACTATCTCAAATGAGTTAAATGTGTGTTCCTCTTATCAGCTAAAAATGTAGTACGATTTCTATTATTTATTTTCATTTTTAATTCAGTGATTTTAACTTTTAATTTAGTGTTTTCTATGCTTTAAAGAGCAATTTTAGATTGTAATGTTTTAATGTTCTATTAATAACCATAAAAGGTACAGCAGTCAAATAAAAGAGAGAAAGGCTGCATGGCTAGAAGCTGCTGATCAAATAAATGCACAAGTAGCAACTATGTTAAAATGCTTTCATATATCTTAAAAAAAAAATGTCATTAAATTGTGGGCACAATACATTAAATACAGTTGGTTGTATAGAACAGATAATGGAAGATCTACTTCACTGGGCGCTATTTAATAACACTAGAAAACTAAATAATGTCATAAAGCTGCAATTAATGGCAATGCTTGCAATGGAAAACTAATAAATAAATCGATAAGAATAGAAAGAAGTAAGTGGCACAAACAGCAGAGTGTCATTAGGTGTGTGCACCTGAAGTAGTGGTTGAGGTCGACGGCGAGGGCTTGGTTCTGCCGGGTGATGCTCACAGCTGTACTGAGATCCTGTGAGATCTGGAAGAGACAGAAACATGAGACGTCTGCTAGACTGCAGTATGAGGCGAAATCCACTGAAGCCAAGAGCTTCCCATCAGTGCTGTCAAACACATCTGACACACAGCGTTAAAGAAACCAGTAACAGCTCATATTCCAACACAATCAAAAGAAAATTAAGCACATTTAACTGCCAAATTCTTAATATTGTAATGCAAAAATAAATAAATAAATAACTGTATTTATATATTTATAATTAAAGTATTTATACAGTACATTATGATAGCATTTCTTGTACTGACTTTAAAAGTCACAGATATTTCTCTCTTTAATTTTTTTTTAAATGTAATGAAATCTTAATTGCATGTACATTCTTATTAATATAATATTTGCAGTATTTAAAAACAATAGACAATATAATAATAATATACAAATATACAGCTGCAGTAAGTTAAAATGTTATATATAAGTGCAGACTTTACATATTAAATAATATAATATCAAATACTATTATTATGAATATTACAAAGTACTGTACATTTTTTATTAATATAATATATATATATATATTTTATTTGCTTATTTGATTTCTTATTTATGTACTCAGTTGCTTAACTATTTCTTTACTTATTTGGCTTTGTGAGATCTTTGAACTCTGGGAAAGTACTTGTTTTCAGACATTTTAGTAAAGAAGTCAGATAATCCTGTACTTTTAATGAGTGTAAATGGTTTAAATGAGTGTTGGTGAATGTGATTAATATCAGCAGGTGCCGTTAACATACTGTGGTGGATACACAGTGCAGTACAGGTACAGGACAGTAGGTGTGTGTGTGTGTGTGTGTGTGTGTGTGTGTGTGTGAGAGG